GAGACCGGGAGGCGCCTGTGTCGGTGCTGGGAGGGCAGGAGAGGCGAAGGAGCCATCACCGGTCAGAGCAGGCCTTCCTGGGGGATTTTGGGGTCGGGCTAACTCCCCGTATTCATAAATCTCTGGCTGTGACAAGACGGTTTGAAGAGATTTTTGTTTCGGCTCATTCAGAGCTGCCTTTTATTTCCTTGCACCTCTGCTCTTACGTGCTGATGCTAGTAGATGTCACGACGCGTTGCGGCCGATATACCCAAAATGCAGATATGCAGTTATTATTTACAGTCCTCCATATCCAGTGACAAGGGAACACTTAACCAGCGGCTAGCAAATTTCCAGGTTTTAACAAAATTATCTAGTAATTTGTTGTTTTAATAATGTGTGGTTTACTGATAAGCAGTTTAGAGCTGTAGAAGATGGATTATTCTTGACTTTCCTATAGCTAGATGTATACTCAGAAACTAAACAGTGCCAAGAAACGCTCCCGTGCAGCGCAACTCCAGCTATATTTTTAAACTGTTGAACCGTTCCTGGCGTCGTTTTGGCCCATGCCAGCCTGCACTCTCCCCAAAAATACCTGCGCAGAGGCTGGGGCTTAGCACAGCCCGGAGAAGATTATTCCCCACGGGCAGTTTGCGTGTAGGTACGCTGCTGCGGAAGCAGGGGCAGTTTAACGGACATAGGGCGTCCTGTGCCAGTTGGCCTCGGTGCCAAGGAATGAGCCCTATTTAAGTCGCTGGTACAAATGCAGCTTGCGTGCTCACGGCACCAGGAGGACCCGCATTACCCTCCTGCTAAAGGGAGCACGTACTCCCTCTCCTACTCGGTGGGAAACGAGTCGCTGGCTCTCTTTATTAGGAGTCAACAGTTGTGATGCAAGAAGGCAGTTTCTAGCCAGGTCACTGTTTGTTTGTTTGTTTGTGTCTCTTGCCCTGCCCCAACCTCCAGGGCATGTTGTTCTCCCAAAGCAAGAAGAAATATGGTCCTATATGTATATACAACAGAAATCTGTTTGGTCCTTGCCAGATAAGAAAAATCCTGTATTCGCTTCTCCACTTCGCCACAGTGCTCAGTGTGCTCACAGGAAGATTCGAGGCAGCTGGCATACTGAGGTGTCCTGCCTAAGAGGGGCTGCAGGTAGCGCTCACCCTCCTAGGCGCTGCTGACGTCCGAGAGAAAAGGGAGATTTCAGACATCCCCTTCTCTTGCATCCTTTTTGGTAAGTGTATATCCCCATGCCAGATGCATAACTTTTTCCAGTTAGGAAATGGAGAAATCATGCTTAACTTTGATTCAGGAATTGCAAAGTAGAAGCCTAAAAGTTTCCAGGATAAACCCATTTCATAATATGGACCGCAGTGTTTTAGTTTTCAAATCGAGACTGAGTTTGTTTTTATTACATTAAATTCTTATATCCCGTAATTATTTTGTGTCTGTGTGTACATGGTAACACGTACTTGTCTTTCACACATACTTTAAACTCATCAAAAGGTATGCCAAATGTTGCTGTTTGCTCTATATGAAGAGTAAAGCTACATTTCAGATTACAGCTTTTGGAAATTAGAGTGTCTCCTGATAAAAATCACTGTGAATTTAGACCAGTGGTACTACCACAGCATCTTCAAAGCCTAACTGCTGAGTTGGGGAAAACTCTGTCATCTTCAGGAAAAACACTTCTGTGCACTTTTGACACCGGCCATTGTTATGACACATTCCTGGGGCCTTCTCCAAGCTGCTACATTTTAGCCAGGGAATGGAGTGAGAGTTATTAAATCTATGCTTGCAAGTTTTGTGCTGACAGTTCCCAGAATGCATTTCGCTGGATCTCCAGGAGAGTCCTTCTGGCAATCTTTAATAAGAGCCACTGGCAAAATAATTCTATGAGTAAAACCACCACCTCCAGGAAGAGCAAGGCCTGCTTCCGCGTGTTCACAGTTCCTGTCAATGCCAACCAGAATGTCATGACTAGAGATGCCCCATCAGTCTTTGTGTTTGCAGAGAAAACTAAAAATGTTGACAAGTAATAAGAAAAACATGTAAATAATTTTCTCCAAATCTTGTGTATTTGTGAAGATGCTGTCTTTATCATGAGCACAACTATGACTTAGTTAAAAACAAAACAGCTAAAAAACATTTTTAGGTTTTCAAGCTACTATTTAGACCAATTTATACAACTATCATCTTCTCAGTTTCAGGAAATTGTTAGTTCCAGGTATTTCATTCAATAATACTTGAGTATTACATTGCAGTTATTTCTATGTATTTATTTCACAGAAGATAATTTTCAACGCTGAAATGAAAATGGAAAATCTCTTCGATCCTTTCTGTGAAAATAAATAGGATAACATATTGAATTGAGCAGATTAAGCTTTTGATTAGCATGCGCTTGCGTGTGGTAATTACAGTATGTATTACAGCCAATAGAAGGAACCAGGAGGAAATTCTGCTGCCAGCTAACTGGAGACACAGTCTGAATTGTCACTAATTTGCATGAGTGTTGGTGAAGCAAAATCTACAGTAGTAGCTCAATGTCCATAGCTGAGCACTAGGGAAATATATCTGAAGGCAAGATTTGCCACTGATCTTATCCAGTTTTCTAGTCAAACCTCTGCAGAATGGGTTAACTTTATGCAATTTTATGTCGAGCACATACCCAAATTTTTTCCCTTAGCCTTCCCGATACAATTTAATCCTTTGCAGACCAAATATTTCACTGTGCCGTTCTGTGCAGGATGCATGTCAACGATGACTTTGGAACTTGGGTATTGAGCATTTGCGTGGTATAGCCAGAACCTAGATAAATTCAGGGTCTCTTATAGGTTCTAAAGAAAAAAAACAATCTGCGTATTTCTGTTCAGATCCCTGATATGAATTGGCTTATTTTGAATATGTGCCAAGGAAAGGAAAATCAGATTCTTCCCCACTGGCTTTCACCAAAACATCTAAAAATGTCTGTCAAACTTAGCATTTTTAATTACTTATTTACTTGAATACGAAATTAATTCAGGAATCTTTTAAAAAGGTGACTTTACTTATGTTGGCATATAAATGATGACAAACTCCTGAAGCATGTGCATGATTTGTGTGTTCTGTGCAAACATATTTATGTAGCTTTAGGTGAAGCTAGTTTAAAAGGAAGGTTCTTCTCATAGCCGCCTATGAAATCTTACATGTATATTAACCGCAGCTCCCTTTATCCCTCAAAACAGAGAGGATGGCCTCTTATATAGAAATCATGGCTCCTTTTATAGAGAAAAAAGAAAGGCAGCAAGTCTCTTGGTGTTCTTCACTATATAATACCAGAGCAAAGGGCTGAATGAGTTAGTCATCAGAGGTAGGACCAGGGGTAATAGTTTGAAAGCTTTCTAACTGTGGATTCATTCATGTCAGAGAAACAAAGAAATATTTATACTCTCTATCAATTTCAAAATAATGTCTGAGATCAGAGTACCACAGGAAGCACTCAGTCTTGTTAAATACAAGTCAAGCCAGCTGTAAAGGTACTCCTCTCAAGGTGTTGCTGTCTGGCACATCTCAATCAGATGTGGCTGTATGGAACATCTGAATGAAAGCATACAGCTGCAGTGCTCTGATTCAGATGTGGCTTTATGGCACATCTGAATCAGAGCATGCAGCCGCAGTGTGCGCTGATCTGAATCTTCACTGTATGTTGGCTATTCAGGGAACAGCAAACATGAGTTTAATAGAGAGCCATGCTATTAAAACACTGAATTTTCTACAGACTATATTTTCTTTTAAAAAATGATTCTGGAACAGTAACAAAGATTCATCTTATGATCTTAAACCATGTGAGCACCACCTAGAGACTTAAAATTCAACAAATGCTGGCAGCAGACATCACCCTACTGATCTACTCTGAAAATGCTGATACATTTACAGTAAATCCCTAACCAGGCCAGTTGTGCAACAAGCTGAAGTGACACAAAGTATTAACATTTATGGTGGTGAGTCAAAATCAAACAAACATCCTTCTTTTATAAGCTTTCTCACAGCATGTAGTAGCATGTACTGCAAGTAATGAAACATCTGTTACAGGCCTAACTTTCTTGCAACTGAGCAAGTGTTGCAATCATTCTCTAGGGCCAGACTTCATGTTAAGGCCTTAGTGGATAGATGAGAAATATCAACAATGGCCAGCACTCAGCCTGGTTGATTCAGGAAGAAAAAAAGCAAAAAAAGAAAAAAGCAAGCAAGGAAAAAAAAAGAAAACCCTTCAAGAGCCACGTTTCCTCTGCACTCCAAAAGCCAGGTTTCCTCTGTAGAAAATCAAAAAGTATATTATCATTATATTGCAAAATGTCCAAAACTAATCTTAACTTCAGGCAGTCTTATTTCAATGACACTTGCAGCTGATTCAAGTGCCCAGAATGCCCTTTTCAGCAGGTCTAGTATGGGCGGATCCTGTAGAACAGTGAATTACAAAATATGCTTAGATGATTCACTCTTTTATAAAGTAGTATCCTTTATGGTCCAGATGAACTGCATCTAGTTTTAAAGGCTGTCCCTTCTATGCAGATACAAAGGTCTTACTGACTTCAACATGCTTCAGTATACTGCTCATGGTGACACCGACTCGGTCTTCCCCACTCTTACCCTAAAGTAACTTTTGCCATTGACTGCAAAGATTTGGTCCTGTTTGCTCTGTAGCCTGAAAAGTTCAGGCAGAGTCAACAAAATGGCTGGGAGCCAGAAATTTAAGGCTTGATGCAGCAAAGCATGTACTCATTAAATATAGACATGTTCTTATTTCCCATCAATTCAAACATATACTCAAAAAGCACTTGATTTGCTGACTAGAAATACAGTTATTGGTGTCTGTGAATGCTTTGCTAAACATTAGACTAAGGCTCCCCATTTAAAGATAATCTCTTCTGGAGATGAGTGATGATTGCAAGCTGTCCTTTTCAGCCCTAGCAGTAATTACAGAATTAGGACACAGATTTGGTTGGTTTTTTTTTTTTTTTTTTCAGATAACAAATGATTTGATATATTAAAACTTGTATAGATAGTACAATTTGCAGAAAAGTTTCCATAACAAAGGTTTTCTTTTAAAAAGAGAGGTTGTTGCTTAGAGCTTGCTCAACTTAAAGCCTTTAGGCAAGTTCCTGAAGTAGATACGAAAGGCTTGCTTCTCATTTACTGTATTTCTACAACATGCTCAGAAATGGTTGGAGGAAAATTCCCTTGGCCTCCTGCTTTAATGTGTTTTTTCCCAAGTGTCTGTGCAGAAGCAGAGTTAATGATTCCTATAAGATCAGTCTGCCTCCCCCTCTCAATTTTGAAATACTACTTCTGTATTTTTTTTTCCCAAGGGAGTAACTTTTCTTGCTAGTTTATGACTCCAGATTACTGATCTGACCCCACTTGTAATGCAATACTAAAACCGTTCAATCAGAACAGGGATATCTGTGTAGCACCCACAGAGATTAACAGAAAATTCAATTCTTTAGCATTCTTCCCTTATTTCTGCTTGTGAGAAGAGAAAGAATTTAACATCATGAAAACAACAAGGTAACACAGTCAGCAATGTACAGCTACCCTGCAACAAGCTTTACAAGATCTCATTCTTGTCCTTCCCTCTGTTTGTTTCATATCATCACATGTTTTGTCATGTCAGAACTTACGTTTTAAACTCTCTGGGTCAACACTGTGTCTGCAAAGTCCACCGATTCCAGTTCTCAAAGCATAGTCAGAATAGTACAGCTTAGGAAACTTAGAACTGTGCAATTAAAATGCTTTCCTGTCCAAGAGAGTGTCTCCATCATCTTACAACTCCATAAACAGTGAGCAGAAATTACAGACTTTTTTGTATCAAATGGACTCTAGTATTTTTATTAAACAGTGTTATGCATACAGGTTAATTAAAAAAGCTGCAGTTCATGAAATATGTGCATCTAGCTAGAAGATACAAATCTAGGCCAATTGTCATTATATCTGCTGAAGCTCAGTCACTGTAAAAATTTACAGTTTATTCTGATATTAAAAAAAACATGCTTTTTTAAACATTCAGTATAGCTCACAGCATTCTACTACACAGCTTCATATAGCATTTTAGTGCAAAAGGAAATACAAATACAAAAATACTGAAGTTTGAATTAAAAAAAAAGCAAACTAAAAGGGAAGTTAGAGATGAGTGTCCGCTATGGGTATTCTTCTAAGCTCTACAATCTGGGAGTTAGCCATGCTGCCGCCATCCTGGCTGCCATGGCAAGAATCATTATCACTGACACTGAGACCTGCACCTGGAAAACAGAGAAGCCAAAAAAAGAACCAGTGAGAATTCAATACTGAAACAGAAATGGTGATATCATGTCCTGTTACATAGCTGCTCTACTTTATTCTGATCATTGAAATTCTTCCCTTCCCTACAAGAATATAGCAAGTTTTCTTTTACTGGTCAGCAATTCTGAATCCACAAATTGTAACGCTAACTGACGTTGTTTTGTACCATCCAGATACACTTTTTTATATGCCACTGTCAGTCACTTTAATTGTCTCAGTAAATGGTACAATAGCTATTCAGAGGTTGCCTTGAAATCACAAAAGCATAAATCAAGGCCTGGCTTAGGCTGGGTTCATGATCTGGCTGTTAAAGTCTGCTATTTCCAAGAACTTCTTCATGAAGAATTGATTTTTAATGATATAATTTCCCTGTTAAACTATAATTCCAGCTGTTTTAATAGGATTGTAATTTCAACATGCGAAAGGGCGCTGACTAAATATTCTTTAACCCACATTTGGCACAGGCTGGTGTATTGTGTTTTTCTTCTGCTGTGTGAGAATACAAGACTTTGGCCTATGGAAACGTCCAAGACATGTCTGGAAGAGACCTCAAGAGGCCACCTTGTCCTTTTTTTTGTCCAAAGAGTACTGCTAGCCAGTTGCTTCCTTGCATTTTTGCAGTTGCTTATTCATTTGAAGGTACATAATCTTGCACTTGATTTTATGAAATGTGCATTTTTTCAGACTACTACTTCACAGAGTATCTGTTGGAACTATAAACTTTAGTGTACTTTCAGCTTCTTCTGTCTCTGCACTGTAGAGTAAATCCTACAAAAAACACAATTCTCATTAGGCATTACAGTGCTTGGGCTTCAAATTTGTTCAGAACTGCACCTCAGTGTGTAACTAGGCATGATGATTTCAAAACAGACTAATGTCAGACATGATCTTCCAGCAATGTCATTTACAAATAGCCAAAAGGTAGGAAAATTATTCAATTTGGAGAAAAGTATCTGATCTGTAACTACAGTCAGTTCAAAGGAGTTACAGAGGAATGACATTTGGTCAACAAGCCCCGAATATGGTATGCTGGGAGAGGCAAGGATTTCCATTTTCTTACTAAAATGCATTTTCAGAAATTTCTATCAGCTGTACAATGGAATCTGCTCTATTCCTCTTAGCTGACATTCCAGGCTTTGGCTTGTTTGGCAAAAGAAATTTAAGCTTTTGGAGCTACCTCATAATTTTCTATGCCCCTGATTGCTTCACTTCTAGTAATTTTTTCATAACCTACCTCCTGCCAAGAAAAGAAGTTAGGAGAAGGGGGGAGCAGTGGGAAGGAATGTGGATGCTCACTTGCTGCAAGAAGTCAGGCTGCAATCTTGAATGTGGAGATGGGTTCAGAAAATGAAACAAGCTGAAGGGTTGGATTCAGCAGGTAAAAGGCCCAGGGGCATACCTACACTGAAAGAGAGTTTACTGGAAAGAGCCTCAAGCTAGCAGAGACCTGCATAACTCAGTCCACTCTGCAGAACTTGGCAGGCTTTCCAGAACAGTTCTAGAAGTAGTCCAGAGGGAGACCCTTAACTCACAAGCAGTGCTGCGTGAATACAGCCATATTGCATCCAGACAGAAAGTGGGTATTTCTGCATTATGATCGTTCTCACACCTGGTTCTGGAGTTCGGGTAGGTGGAGTGATGTTGAATTCATTCACATCTGCTCGTTTAGACACGTGCTTGGGTCTGTCAGATACGACAAGAGTAAAGAGCCATCTGATGGACAGAGCTACCATAATAAAGACATGAAGCTTAGGACCTGAATCATGAAAATTCTTATTTATAAGCTTATTGAAGACAAACAAGCCACATTTACTCATTTATAAAATTACATGCATATTTAAAATTTTCTTTGAATCATGGTCCTAATGACTAAGTTGTTTGAAAGTCCTGGGAAAAACAGCAATTGCATCAGGAAATTATTTTTTTTTTATTATGATGTTCTCTAAAACTGTTTTAGAACAGAAACATGAGCGTAAGGAATGGAAATAGAGAAGGCAAATCAGACTGTTGTATTTACCATTTGATGACAGAAGAACAAGGTAATATTTGTGAAGTAAATAAGATAATTTAAATGAAAAAATATAAAATATTTCCTATATAGCATCATTAACATTGAAACTTAGACTCAAAACTTTTATTTAGGCTAAAAATGGTGTGGATTTCATAAAAGGAAAAACAGAAATGATTGGAAACTTTTACAATTATATTATATAAAATTTTCTTTTTATATGTCCGTGAACAACCAGGCTTCAAATTGTAAGGTGACCACTGAATGCTGGGATTAGAAAGATACTTCTCTTGCTGGTGATTACACTGCAATTGTTTAGTATGGGGTTCTTTGAAACATCTGGTGCTGGTCACTATAAAAAGATCAGATACATCAGACACCAGGCTAACCTGGTATTATACCACATATATTCCTAAATGTCATATGTGCATGCTTTGTGCAAAGTAAGAGGAGATTTTTAAGGAGGTTCTTATAAGGAACTTGGTAAACCTGAAACTGAAGTAGGCTACTTTGGGTTTACAACAGCCTCGTTCTGCTGCTGATGCAAAGGCAAACTATTTAAGACCGGATCCTTTTTAGGAATGAAAACTGAATTGTAACCAGGATACTAAACTACCAAACAATCGACTGACCAGGAAGGGTAGGACTGTTTACATGGTGGAGTTTCACAGAGTTCATAGGTCCAGCTTGTTTTCAGATCATAGCAGAATTTAAACACGATCACGTCCAAAAAAGCAGGTGGATGGTGGGTAAGTAGCCAAGGGTGCCACTTTTCCTCAATTTGTGAAGCAATTATTTCAAGAAGAATATGCACGAAAATGAGGCCTTTCTTCCTTTCTTTTTGTATCAAAGGACTAGCTATAAAGTTAAAAGTCACAGCTTGCTTTGCAAAATCAGCAAGATCCCTGCAGTGACATCTACCGGTTGAAAGACTCAATCAGTGCATTCCTATATTCAGTGAACTCCAGTTGTTATCATTTAATTGATAACAATTTAATTGATGATTTAATCACAAATTTTCACCAAAACATTTTAAGGGAAATGGAGATTGCTTTGTAATTACTGTACCCCTACTGCTAGGAAGGTTTTTTATCTCATAAACACTTATATCTTATTTTCTGAATCACTAATAATTTGTATTGTATGGGTAAAATGTATTAGACAGAAAATTAATATGCTACATAGACAAATTTTATTTCTTCTTTTAGGTCTTGACTCTACAGAAATGACACCAATAGACATCCAGACTTCTAAGAATAAAGTTCAGATTTGACTCCTGGATCTTATGGAGTCATGTTCAACATCCAGCAGTTAGCAAATTTGTGAGCAATCACAAATGAGAACTTGAATGAATATGCGAACTGGCTTCCTTTTTCCATGAAGTGATGCTTCAGAACAGAAATGAGGTAGGTTGATAAAGCAGGGCAAGAATCTGGCACTTTGCCACTATCTACAATTTATCTGTTCTGTGACAGACAGTAAGACTTGTCTCCAGGATGGTCTACTCATCACATTTCAGAATTTTAAATTTCAAAAGTTTCCTCAAATTCTGGATGCCTGGCATGAGATGCTTAATTCTCAAATCGGGCACCTAAAGTGATAAAACTAAGGTTTAAAAAACGTTGACTATGGAACTCCAGATATATTAGACTGCAAATTATGAGATAATTTATAATAAGTCTTTATCATAATAAGCTGCATTTGGTTTTTTTTTTTTTTTTTCTAATTTCTGTAGTAGATTCTTCAAGTTATTTTCTGTGTAGATTTATTTAGGATTTATCACATATGCCACTATATAGAGCAAAAGTACGCTGAGATTGCAAACGTGAGCCTAAACCTGTCCTGTCTTCTGTTGATACTGTCAGATACCTATTTGGAAAGTACCCTGTGGCCAGGGTGGTATTCTCAGCTCTGACCTATGAATGGCCCTTGCAAACACCTTCCTACACAGATTAATTGTCAGTCAGAACAAGAGGGGCTTGGAGCCTCTTTTAAAGGGCTTTGTTATATTTTGCATTGACATCTAACCTAAAGGAATAATTCGGCTCTGTTTTGGGCATCACAGAAGGGGGAGAACCAGAGCATTTGTGGTAGATGGGAACATGGGTGGAGGCTAAGAGATCAGGAAAGCTATCATGTATTTATGGTATTTATACTTTGGAGCAAAGTTGATGGGCAGCTTGCTGCTTTGGGGCAGAGTCTACCTAATTTTATTCTACCAGCTCCCTTTTTAACTACCCAAGCCTAACCAACATGTAGAAGTCCTTAGCTCTTACTAACCAGGAATCATTTTACAGTGGGCTTTACTGTCACACATTTACTACTCTGATGTCGGTCTGGAAGGTGAGGATCTCATTAAATGGTTTATTAATATAAACCTTGCAAAAGAAATCACAAATGCAAAATGACATCTAGTTCAAAACGATAGCATTTTTAAAGCTAGTTAGTGCAATTAACAATAACTACTTAGTAAACAATTGTCCTTTCTCAGTAGAAGCCAAGCCTTTGATTCATTATAAAAACAAAAAATGAAATAAAGTAAATTATTTAAACCAAACTAATTACCATCCAGAAGAAAACCCAAGGTTTTAGCATGCATCCTTAGGCAGGACATGTCTCTGAATTTTTTTTCCTGCAGTAATCTTTTTGTAATTTCCTTCACATAAATTGCCTTGGAGCTGACTAACTTTCCAAAGGTTTCTCACAGTATAACAGAGTTCAGGTGACACAGTCAGCATAGTGAATCCTAACTATTTCTTTCTATATGGACATGAACATATTTGATGGAAAGGAGGAATTAATTGATAGCGCATTCAGAGACCATGGTTTTATGATACAGGAAGTCTAGCTTTTGGATTTCTGGCACCAAATACAAAACAATGTGTCCATATGACGCAAAGTTTGCATAAAGCAAGCATAAAAGCTGGCTAAGAAAACACCATAAACTGTACATTTTTATCCAACTAACTTGCTAGAAATGCAGTTGATGCCTTCATCTGATCCAGTCTGTATTTCTGGTTAATCTGTAATTAGATCCAGTATTAATGATTATGGAACCAAGGGCTAAGTGCATAGTTCTATGACACATTTCTTTAGCAATAAGGCCAAGTGTGCCAATGCATCTATTTGTGGATTTGCACTGCAAGTTGTAACTTACCAAACTGTTGCAAGTTAAGGAAAAAAAAAGTTATATGGAAGCTTGATTTTTTTTTAACCTGCACCGTTTCAGTCATCCAGTTTACAATATGGCCCCAGCCATGAATACACCAATATTACTGAGAGTGGCAAACTTCATTGCAAGGGTGGGGCATGAAGAAAGGAATGAGATTTTAGCTTTGCTGACAGCAAAACATATCTGCGAATTATATCCTCATTTTCACTGATCCTGGCTGCCAGATTAGAGCTTGGGGCTACAGACCATAAGTATAAATTAAAGTAACCCTCAGACTGCTCCAGATTACATTAGCACAAAGGACAGATGAAGTGTAAAAAGGCATAAAGACATTTCTGCATATTCCTCCACTAATCAGTGTTGATCCTCAGCCAACCTCCAGAATAGAAGCTAATGTTTTAACATAGCTGTGACTGAGTTTGGTTATAGATTGACAGTTCTAGGGAATGACAGAGAATGAAGGTTTCTGTTTCTGGTTACCAGAGGTAAAACTCAAGCAGTAATAGAACAAGCTTTCCTATTTTACCACTATAACCTAAAGCCATACCTCTCAGTTTAGGAGGAGATAAAAACAGCTAATGTGGTGCAAAGCACCTTCTACCTACTTCTGCCAGGAGCTGGGATGAAAGAATTCTCAATCTACTGAAATAAAGTGTGGTCTAAAAAAGTTGAGAAGCACTACTTAAAGTGAAGGACTAACAGAGCCCCCTAAAGGGAAGGCAGCAAGAGGCATCTCAACTGCCCGTACATTTCAGCCCATTTAGAAAAAGGGGTGCTAGGCTTTTGGCTGCTGACTCCCACTGCTTTCTTTGACCTGATACTGGTTCTCATCACCTGATGAGCTGGATAAACGCATCAAACTGACAAAGGGGAATGGAGTGCGGCGACAAGGGGAGAGAGAGGAGATAGAGAGGGAGAGGGAGAAAGAGAGAGGGAGGGAAAGGAAGAACGCTCTAATCTGAGTTGCTGTGGTTTTATACGAGTACGAATACCAATGCAAGAGAGCAAGAAGAAATGTGCAACCAGGAGGGATGAGGAGCCAGCCTCCTTACAGTGACTGCTAGCTTAACTGTGCCACAAAACCCCATGCAGACCACAGTTCAGTGAACACTTAAACAGCAAAAGCCTGTACTGCACAAGCAGAGAAGAAATCACACTTTCCGCCATCTTTTGCCACTTTTAATTGCTTCAATGCAGCTCTCTCTCTTTTACTATCAGAGGCACTTTGATTCTTTGGAAATGCACTGTACTGGACTGGAGAGCAGGTCTGGCTGAAAAAGGAAAAGCAGCTATGTTTTTTTTATTTTTAGTAAAAAGCACATTTTTTCGTTTGAAGTATTTGTTGAGCTACAGCCTGGATCTGAGGCAGTAACTGACAAACATTTACTTTGGTAGTTAAAGCTGCTCTAGCCGCAGTACCTCCTCTTTAGGCTGACTTGTTCAAACGTATGTGGGGCTGGAACCAGATAGGGCCACGGGTTTGGCTTAGAAATAAACCTTTTCCCTCCTGTGACATTGCTGAAGGCACAGTTTGGGCACAAGAGTGAACATTGGGGTAAAATGCACAGGTGATGCTTGAGCCAGCAATGCAAACAAAAATGTCTTTCTCAAACTGTGCCCTGAAGCATCTGCTTTAAATTCTATTCATCCAAAAGGCTTTTAAGAACAAATGACAATAAATTATTAATAAATAAAAAGGACATTCACATAAAATTTAGACCAAAAAAAATCAAGTTACTTTTAGACCTACCTCCTTTAGAAGGATGGTGACAAATTAACTAAGGATGGAACTTGAAGATTTATAAAAAGTCACAAAATGCTAAATCAGGTTGTGTTGGATTATATTAACCATGAGGTTTAACTGCTGCTGTTGCTTGCTAGGTTGGTCTTCATGATTTAAGGCTTAGCCTTCCACACACTGCATAATGTTTAATGCAGTGAATAGGCCAACTGATGTCAATTGAGCAGCTTAAGACAGTAAACAGTATGTTCGATGAAAAGAGTGTTAAATATGAATAGCTTCATATCTTATTAAAAATCTTCTGAGTTATCTAGTTTCCTTTAAAATATTCAGAAAGTAGAAAAAGAAAGATAAAGTAAAAGCTGCATACTTAGATACTTAAAAAAGGGTTTGCAAATCTTAAGTTTATGCATCCATATTTTAAAGTCTTGCCCAAAACCTGTAACAGTTTATTACACAGCAGCAGACTGCATAAGAAACTATATTTAGGCGGCAAAATATCCAGGTGAAGCAATAGGAAAATACAACTTTTGTGACAGTGTGTACAAAAATTCATATTTCTTAGCACTAGGCCAGTTATTTATTGCCCAATTATCTTCTTAATTAAAAGAGCTTTCTGCAATGGAAATTGTCCTAAGAAATAAAGTGTTATGAATAAAACTACTCCTTCATTAGCAAAATTCTCAGTCTTCCATCCAGTTTGACCTTTTCCACTGATGTCACTGCAGGGAACATAACTCCTGAAATTAGCAGTAAGCAGTCAGTGCACTTAACCTGCTAATTTAGTCAATATCTAGATGTTGTCTCCTTGCAGGCTCCATGATATTCCAAAAGATCAGGCAAATGGCCTCCAGTCACTTGCCTGAGTACCTTACCAAGCTTGTCCCTTTGTATTCCCTGTGATGCCTAGGGCGGTGGGCCTGGCTTAGTAAGTGCCAGATCTTACCAGGTGACATTCTTTAACCATTGTGATCTGTTATCAGACATTCCCATGTTTACCTGTCTTTGAATCAGGTTTCACTTCATTTCTTCTGCCTAAAGCCATGCCCGGCTATCAATTTAAATGATCAGTTCTACCATCATTTCAATGACCTAAATTTTTGGGGGGGGGGGGTTGGTTGGTTGGTTGGTTGGTGAGAGAGAATATGAGCAATACTTAGCTGAGAACCCTGAGGGAAAAGACTGGGATTTTGAAGACTTGAACTCTAAGGCCATTGAGAGGAATCTGATTACAAATTATTTGTTTTAGAAGTGTAGTTTGAGTGTAGGCACCTAGAGTGGCCTCCATCCCCCTTGTGTTCTCCAGCAGCTTTGTGAGCTAATCACAGTTGTCTGCTGTGTTTGGGCAGAAGTCTATCTATCTAGTTTATCATTCTAGGCCCAAATGTTTATTTGGCATGGAGATTGGGAACATCAGTATTTATGAAATTATGCTATTTCTTACAAATATATATAATAAAGATATGTACAGCATACATATCATCTATATGCAC